GTGTTGTTGTTCGGAGCGTTGGACTGGTGGGTGTGTGGGTCGCGGTTGTGCTCCGCTCGATGTGCTGATTCGTGAGGCTGGGTGCGATCTGGCAATGCTTCGTCGTCGCTGCTGATGGTGTCGACCAGTGCGTCGAAGGATTTTTTGTCGGGTCACGTCGCGCCCTGACGAAATCTCCATCCTGAGTAGCCGTCTGCGTAACCTTCGGCGCTTCGCCACTCTCCTGGCTGCTGCTACCGCTGTGGCGTCATTGGGATGCGGTTATGTTGGTGTTGTGCTGTTGCTGTCGCTGTCGAGGTATGTGTCTTGGTGCTGCTCAAGCTCGTCGGCGCGGATTGGCCCGTGGTGGAATTGTCGTTCGCACTCTGTAGGAGTATGAGGTGCGGGGGGAAGCCGTTCGCTGTTTTGTGATGCCGTTGTATGTGCATTGAATTTGGCTGTCACGGGTGGACTAGCCAGCCCCCTTGGGGTCTTTCTGCTTGTCTTGCAGTCCTCTTGCGAGCCAAAATGGCTGGTGGCGGGAGGTTGGCGCGTGGGCCAGGCTCCGTCGACTGCAAGTGTGGGATACCCCCAGGATACCCGGCGCTGGGAGACCTCCAGATGAGATGGCTCTGGTAGTCTCGACCTGCTGCCTGGGTCCGCCTTCGCGCGGCTGTGCAGCCAGGGTTGCGGCGCCGCATGGGCCGCCGCAGCTCCCGCGGAGTGGGGTGTTGGTCCTGGCATGGCCAAGGGGTGTCGCCTTGGTCCACGCTGCTGGCACTGCGGCTGGCTGCCCGAGTAGCTCTCCCACTCTTGCTGCAGCCTCGCCCAGTCGCGGTGCTGGTTGCCAACATGAGCCCTGGTGGCAAGGGGGGTCGCGGCCTGAGGGAGTCGCTCAGGTCCGCGCTTGGAGCGCTCATGCTTGAAGTCGCCGTCCTGTGGGTGGCCCCCACCCTTGCCCACAGTTGCGGCGTCTAGGGGGCTGGCAGTGCAGATGGTTCGTCTGCTGCGTCTTTTGGGTCGAGGCTCCCTAGTGGAGCGCTGGTGGTCTGAAGCGGATGCGGCATCCCCAAGGCTCGCATCGGCTTGGGCGTAACTATGTAGTGTGATGGAGGCTAGGTGCGATTGTGTGCGGGCGGCCAGGGGCCGTGGGTGGGGGTGGCTGGGCGTAGGCTCGTCACCGCACGGGTCTCTGAGTCTGGGCCCCATATCCCCATTGTCTTCTGGTGTGGCTGGCTGGACGCAGGTCTGGGCCAGTTGCCCCCCAGCCTGCGTACTCCCATTCAGTTGTTTGACAATCGACCCCCGTCGAGGTCGCTCTCGCCGCTCTCGATGAAGGATGCCACCCTGTCCCCTGGGTCCGCGAAGCCATCGTCCGCGTCGCAGATCCTGACCTTTTTAGGCTGGCTCCTCGCCCTCCTGGGCTCTCTTGGCTGCTTCAGGTTGCCTCTGCAAGGTGGTGCTGAGCTCGTCCTCTCTGGTGTGCCCATGTGAAAGCGCGGAGGTGGCAGCCGTGGCTCGTGTGGCACGGTGGGCGTGATGTCCTCAATCGGCATCCGTGGAGGCGTGCTAGGGCAGGCCTCCTCGTCGCGGCTGAGGTCGATGAACAAGGTCGTCATGGGGGTTTTGGCTGGCTGTGGTCGTCGTTGTGGGCTCTTGCTTGGCGTGAGAGGCGTGACGGGTGGGAAACTGATGTTCCTTGGCGTGGGCTGTTCTGTCGGGATGGGTGAGTCGGCTGGGAGCGTTGGTGAGAGTGAGGCGAGGTCTGTTGGGGCTTCGTCCTCCTTCTCCTCGCGCAGGTCTTGGCCCATCTTCGGCTCTTCATCCTGCAAGTCAGCGTCGTCGGATTCGCCAATTGGGATGCAGTCACTGTTCGCCCGTACGTCAAGCAGCCCCTCTTCCCTGGGCTCCTCGGTAGCGGCCCTTTCTCTTTCTCCCAGCCCCGTGTTGGCCAGGTGGAGAAATGGGTCGATGCTGGCGTGCTCCTCGAAGGGCGGGCGCTGCTGAGGTGGTGGTGGTGGTAGCGGAAGCTCTTCAGCGGGTGGCCTCGGCACGACGCTCAGGTCTTGAAAGCTGAGGTCGCCGAACGGCGAGAGGGTCGGCTCCTCTGGCGTTGGCATCGACGATGTATGAGACCTCTCTCCAAATCCCACCTCGGCCAGCTCCTCGAGGTACGGCGGTAGTTCGGGATGTGGGAGCTCGTACTGGCTAGGTAGAAGCCGGAGTAGGTCTGCCTCCAGTTGCTCCCTCTGGTACTTGCCCTCCTGCTCCGCCATGCCTTGGTCACGCTCAATCGTGACTGGGTCTTCCCATGAGGTCGTCCGTGATATCGAGTAGCAGGTCCTCGTCCACTTGTCCTCCTGCTCCCCAGGCGTCCCGTAGAGCGTTCTGGAGTCCTGCCGTTTGCCGATCATGCACTCGTTGGAGGTCTTGTAGGCGTAGTGCTGCACCGCGGCCTGCATCTCCTGCTGGTGCTCGTGCTGCAGAGTGCTGTGGTACTGCTGAGACGCGTGGTTCTCCAACTCCTGCTGGTGCTGTAATGCCTGGAGCTCGCTCGTGGCTGCTGCTTGGCGCTGCAGAGCCACCTCCTCCATCCTTTGAGCTTTGTCCACCGCCTCCTGGTGCTCCCCGACGCGCTCCAAGTACTTTTCCTGCTCGTGCTGCATCTCGCACGCCTTCGCCTGGATGGCTGAGTGCTCCAGGTTCAGGACGACCCGCATCGCTTCGCGCCTGTTGGCCTCTTCCTGGTGCTCGTGGGCCATCTGCTGGTAGGTCACTGCGATCTGCAACTCCTCCTCCTTGTAGGCGCTGCGCCGGGCACATCGCTCCCGGCATTCCGCCTCCGCCATCTCCTGCGTCGCCTTTTCATTGTGCTCCTGCGCCATCTTGTGCCACTGGGCCTCCTGAGCCGCCATCTGTCTCACAGCCTGCTCCTCCTGCCTGGCCTTCTCGACCTGCTGCGTGTAGATGGCTGCTCTTCTCTGGTCTTCCTTGTGCATCTCCTCGCGTAGTATCTTCTTTTCCAACTCGGGGTGCTTTTGCAAGTCCAAGAGCATCCATTTGGCCCTCTCCTCCTGTGTCCTCTGGCTGCCTCTCTGCGCCTCGTATGCTTTCGCTTCCTCCTCCTCCAGCTTGGCCTGGCTGCGCTGTGGCTGGTGCCGCTAGTGCTGCAGCTGGGTCGCGCCTCCTCCTCGCAGCCGGGCGTGGCGTGCGTCCTCTGGTGGGGTCCTCGCTCCCCTCCTCCTCTGACGATTCCTCCTCCACACCCGCTGACTTTGCCATCTGATCTCTGGTTTCCCTCAACAGGGTCTTGTAGACCCTGATGGTTCTGGCGGCCGCTGCCTCCTGGCCGAGCATCTTGCTGAGCCGCCTCTCCATCTCGGCGTGCTCCTCCTCCAGCTTTTCCAGCGTAGCCCTGAGCTGCTTCATGCGCTCTTTGTGGGGCAAGACGAAGGAGATGTTCGCGGCAGTGATCGCCGCTTCCTGCTCGAGGCTTGATGTGCACAATCCCGCCAGCCTAGCGCCAGCAATGTTCTCGGAGAGGCGTCCCAGCCTGTGGCACTTCGTCTTGTACCACACGAACCGCATTTCCTCGTCGTCTGGTGGTGTGGACCAGCTCTCATGCTCCATCGCCACGGCGAAGAAGACTGGCGTGATGCTGTCCAGGACTGCCTTCTGCTGCGGGCTGTACTGGAAGCTGCTGATGTGGGTTGAGGCTGGAGCGTCGTGCTGGCCCCTCCTTCTGCGCCTGCTGCTCCTCCTTCTGGCAGAGGCGCTCCTCCATGGCGCACTGTGCTTCCAGTGCTGGGCGCTGTCGCTTCGCTGCTGGTGCTGTGGGTGATTTTGCTGGTGCTGGTGGTGGGCTGGCTGGTGGTGGTGCTTGTGGGGCTGAGGCTGCGGCTGCTGCTGCTGGCTGTGCTGCCGCCTCTGCGCGCTGTGCTGCTGGTATCCGTTGTGTTGGTGTTGGTGATGCTGGCCATCCCCACGGGCCCACTCCCAGGGTCGCCCTCCGATGGCTCCGTAGTCACCAGTCCAGTCTCTGGCACTGCTGCTGCGCCTGCGCTGGTGTTGCTGCTGCGCCTTCGTCGTCATCTCGACGTCCGTGTGGTGCCCCTCGGCGTGCTGCTGGTTGCGCTGGGGCTGCTGCGCCGAGTGGTGCTCCTCCAAGAGCTGCTTGGCCGCCGCCAGCCTGAGGAGGACGCGGGCGTTCCCCCTCTTGTCCCACCAGCGGCGGTGCCAGGCAGGCTCTGGCTCGGCCCTCCAGCCGCGCGGCGTGCTGCCTGGGGCTGCCGCTGCCGCGGCCGCCAGCGCCGCTGCCCGCGGCGGAGGAGCTGGGAGGCGCCGAAGGCCCCCCGCCGCGAGGTATGGCGCGCGCGGCGCGCTTCAGCCCTGCCTTGCGGGCTGGCCGATGCGATCCAGCGCCCTGCCACCGCGAACGATCGGGCGGCAGGCGCGACCGAACCCCGACCGATCGGTCGGGATCCGCTGGCCCGCGCGAGGCTAAATGGGTTTCCTCCTCCTCCTCCTCCTCCTCCTCCTCCTCCTCCTCCCGTTCCTGGAAGAAGGGCGGCGCAGTCAGGCAGTACTGTACGCTCACGTTTGCATTTCACGAAAAGCAGAAGCAAAAAGCAAACAAAAACGATTGGGCAACGCATCGTGAAGTATGGAGGGGCCCAAGATGGCTGGAGGCACGCGTCTCCACATCGCGCGAATCTTAGAAAATCGCGAAAGTGAGCCAAACGGAAACGATGCAGCCGCCGCAGCCGCCAGAGCCGCCAGAGCCGCCAGAGGGGGAAGACACATGTTTCTCTCGCCGACGGGGAGGGCCCTCCCTTTATAATTCGAGGGCGAAAGCCGCCTTTCTTTCCCCTCCCCTCCGTGCTCCTGCGCGCGCGTACTGGCAGGAGGGACGGCCATGGCGATTTTTGCGCAGGCCGGTCTGAAGAGGCAACGTGGTCGCCGAAAACTCACCCCAAACGATGGTGCACCGTTGTGCTGGGGTCGGGCGGCGCGGGCGTGGCCCAGGAGATGGCCCTGTTCTGGCTCGCTCCCCCTCGTCGTGGGCTCCTTGGCAGGGCGCCCAAACGATGCCGGCACCGATGGGTTCGGAGGATCGCACCGCACCGCACCGCCGATACATCAGCGAAGTCGGGTTCCGCGTCGCGCCGCATCGCCTCGCCAATGCACTGGCGCTGCGGCGCGGGCCTCCGATCCCGCAGGCTCCTGTCGTGACGACGTGGGCCTGGGTTTCTGACACCGCGCGAGCTGGTCGAGCTTTGGAAGGTCTCCGCTCTCACAGGCTCCAAAGGGGCCGTCGGCACCAGCGCTGTACACCTGCGCCGATCCTGGCCAGGCCCATGCTGGGCCTGAGAGTGGTGTACATTGGCGGCGAGCCCCGGGGGGGGGAATTGAGAGAGGGCGGGCCTTCTCAGAGGGCTCAGAGATCCTCCGGCTTTCCTCGGGAGGTCTCTGAGCTTTCCCCCAAAAGCCGCACCACAACCAACGGCTTCTCGGAAGGCGCGAGGCCTTCTGAGCAGTCCCGCCGCCCTCTGAGAAGGCCTGCTCCTTCTCGCCGACGATGCCCCTGTCACGAGCCCCCGAGTTGGGCCCGGGGCCCGAGCGCCCGAGGGCCCGAGGGCCCGGGGCCCTCGCTCGCCGATCATGCCCCTCCCTCGCTCGCCGACGGTGCCCCTGTCACGAGCACCCGAGCAGGGCCCGGGGCCCGAGCAACCGAGACGGGCCCCGGAGCCGAGGTCGTGGACAGGCCGCGGCGCCCCTCTCCCCGAGGCCGGGCCCAGGAGGCCGACGGAGTCCCCCTCCTCCCCCTCCCCCTCCTCCTCCTCCTCCTCCTCCTCCTCCTCCTCCCCCTCCTCCCCTCCTCCTCCTCCTCCTCCTCCCCCTCCCCCTCCTCCTCCTCCTCCTCCTCCTCCTCCTCCTCCTCCCTCCTCCTCCTCCTCCTCCTCCTCCTCCTCCTCCTCCTCTCCCTTCCCCCCCTCGCTCGCCGTCGAGGTGTGCGCCCTCCCGGCTCGGCGAGGGAGGCAACCGGCCCCGCTCCCGGGGCCGCGGCTGGCGCAAAGGTGTGCGACGGGCGCCCACCTGGCACCTGCGGGCGGCGGGGGGTTCCTGCGTCCTGGCCGAGGCCGTGGAGTGCCAGAAGGTGGCCCGTGCGAACTTCACCTCGAAGAAGTACTTCAGCTCCTCCAGGTCCTGTCGGACCAGCCTTCGGGGGGGAGGGGGAGGGGGAGGAGGAGGAGGAGGAGGAGGAGGAGGAGGAGGAGGAGGAGGAGGAGGAGGAGGAGGAGGAGAAGGAGGAGGGAGAGGATGGGCAAGGAGGGCAGGAGGGAGGGGGGGATAGGCGGAGGATGGCTCCGGTCGCATGCCAAGTGCGTCAAAGGGATGTCGAAGCGGTGTCAGGGAAAGGGGGAGGAGAGGGAAGGAGGGGGAGGAAAGGAAAGGGGTGTCAAGGACAGGGGGGGGGGAGGCGGGGGCCCCAGCGGAACCCCGCGGCGGCCGCCCGTTGAGGGATGAGGGATACGCAGGAAACATCTATACACCACCACCGTGCCAAGCCAGGGCCATCCTGGCCCTGGCATGGTGTATACGCCTTCCTGGCCGAGGCCAGGTGGGTCTATACACCTTCCTAGGGCCCAGGCTGGCCCTGGCCTGGCGCGGTGGTGGTGTACAGAAGCCTTCGTCGGAAGGAATGGAGGGAGGAAGGGAGGACTCGGCCTCCAGAAATTTCACGCTGCTTGCCCCTGCTGGGCCTCGAGGGGGGGGCGGGCACAGTCGCCACAGCTGGATCCGCCCCGAAACCCTGTCGAGGGCGCGCTCCATGCAGTTCTGGAGGCGAGTGAGAGGACGAGGCGACGAGCCTCAGCAGCTTGAGGACGCGAGTCATGTCGATGGAATGGTTGCTGCAAATCAGCCGCAGCATGCCGTCGAGGAACTCCTCGATGCTCACCTCCATGGAGCCGTCCACGTCCAGAGCTTCAAACAGATCGAGGAGGGAATCTACATTCATCAACTTCTCCAACTCTTTCTGCACATCTTTTTCGGCGGACGTCAATTCGTCCAATGTAACATAACCACTCTGATCCGCGTCAAGTGCATTAAACATACTCTTTAAATTCGGCAGCAACTGCTGCATTCTCTGATTATTCCACAAACGTCGCGTTTCTTGGTCGCGCTTCCCCTGCTCTAGGAAGACTTCGATGACTACGGCCGTGACCACCTCAGTGGGACATCTATACAAGTACACAGGTTCATGAGACTGAGGAGGCCGAACGCTCATTTTTTGTTCCAGGGTGCGTGGCTGAAATGGGAATCCGGGGGAAGATTATGCTTCTTGTTGTTGTTGTCGTCGTCCCCCTCCCAACCAGCCCGCGACCCACCCGCGACCCACCCCGCGACCCACCCCACGACCCACCCCGCGACCCCACCCGCGACCCACCCCGCGACCCACCCGCGACCCAGCCCGCGACACGCCTGGTGACCCGCCCGTGACCCACCCGCAACCCACCCCGCGACCCACCCCGCGACCCACCCCGCGACACACCCCGCGACCCACCCGCGACTCCCCCCGCGACCCCCCCCCGCGATCCACCCACCCGCGACCCACCCGCGAACCATTCGCGACCCATCCGCGACCCATCATTGACCCGGCCCGCGCCCCACCCGCGACCCACACGCGACCCACTCGCGAACCACCCCGCGATCCACCCACATTGCCTTAACGAAGAAATCGGCGCCCGCGGCGGGCTCACCGCAAAATTTGTAAAAATGGAGCGCCTGCGGCGGGCTTCTTCAGAGCCTCGCAGACTGACGACGTCCTCGCCGCCCCCTCACTCTTATCCGCAACTGCGGGGTGGTCCGTACATGTGTATTGATATGCGCATTCGTAATGCACATACATACGCGTATACACATGGTGTGTACATGTGTGTACATACATACATACATACATACATACATACATACATACATACATACATACATACATACATACATACATACATATGTACAGACAGACAGACAGACAGACAGACAGACAGACAAACAAACATACATACATACATACATACATACATACATACATACATACACACATATATACACATATATATATAATCTATGCAACATCCCGCATGTGCGGATGAAGGAGGCGGGCGTGGGCGACGCGGGCGCACGGCGCGGGTGGGTCGTGGGTTGGTCGCAGGTCGCTGGTGGGTCGCGGATGGGTCGCGGGTGCGTCGCGGGGCGGGTCGCGGGGGAGGTAGCGTGGTGGGTCGAGGGGTGGGTCGCGGGGTGGGTCGCGGGTGGGTCACGGGCGGGTCACCAGGCGGGTCGCGGGTCGCGGGGTGGGTCGCGGGTCGGGTGGGTCGCGGGTCGCGGGTGGGTCGCGGGTGGTTCTGGGTGGCGGGTAGGTCGCCGGGCGTGTCGCGGAGTGGACACTTGCAAGACAAGTTGGACCAAGTACGTCGCAAACTACAAACCTCTTCTGTTCCGCTAATGTGTGTGTGCCATTGCCCCAACAGTGCTGCGCTAAGATCCCAAATCTTATACATCGACTATTCCATGATTGGTTATGTCATTGAACCATGAGTCGCGCCATGAATTCCGCAAGGCACCAGGCACTCCGCAAATCTTCAGTTCCAAGATTGCTCGCACCATTGTGTCATAGTGTGCGCCAAGCGCCCCGCAATCGGCAACATCGCCTGCTCCATGATTGGTGGCACCGCTGCGCCGTAGGTTGCGCCAGACATCTCGCAATCCGCAAAAACGCAGTCTCCATGGTTGATTCCACATTGAAGCAAGCATTCGCAACTTGGGGAGTCTAGTTTTCGTCAAGTCATGCGTGGTGAACATTATTTTGCGCCCCTTGTGGGAGGTTTCAATTTGGCGTCGGTTGCGGTTTTATGAGCCGCCTCCAGTTGGTTCGCGGCGCATCCTTTATGCGCCCCTGGCTGCTTGGTTGTCGTTGTCAGACTTGCCAGTGCCCTGCAACAGCCTCCACCTGCTGCGCACGTAGCACCGCATTCACCAAACATCGTCTCCTGCCATGTGTGTCAACGCCGGTTCGCGATCGAGGAAAACTCCAGGGTCCTGGTAGCTCGCCCCTGCACCTGGGGGCACCAGCTTCCCTTCGTGGAGGAAGGGCATGGGCTCCCGGGGGGGGTCCCCAGGTTTCGCCTGGTGCGCGCCCGTGGGCGCCTTGTGTTGAGCAGGGGCCGACCGTCCCGCCATTCCTATAGTCCTACCACGAAATGTTCTTAGAACCCTAAAATGTTCGAAGAACAGAAATAATGTTCTTAGAACGCAGACCCGATGTGTTCAAACACAACAATCTCCACCAGAAGTGCTCTACGAACGTTCCGTGGCAACCACAGAAAGGTTCTTAGAGCCTTGTTAGGTAGGGCCATAGGCGAGCCAGGACGCTTCGCAACTGCTTGATTTTTGGACACCCGAAATGGGTACCGAAAGAATGGGCACAATGCCCAACAACAAATGTTGTCCCAAACCAACAGCGGCCGCTGTTGGGCAGGCGGCCTTCTGTCTCGAATGGACACAGGCCGCGGCGGCGCGGACAGCGAGTCCTGTTCAAAATGAACAGGAACTGCTGTTGGGCATTGTACCCATCCTTTCCGTGCCCATCCCGTTCGTGCAGATTGATTGCGGGCATCCCGCGCCTGGGCGGGTTTCCCGCGGCTCCGCGTGCCTGCCCGCCCGTGGGGCGCCCGGCGCGCGGCCCGTGCGCTGGCACCGCACGGCTTGCACGGGAGAGGCTGCACCGCGCAGCTTGCAGCACATACTGGGCATTTGTGTTTTAATACATGGTTATATATACATATATATATATATATAGAGAGAGAGATGTTGGATTTTATACATGATTAATGTATGCATGAATTTATGCATGAGCTCATCGTTGTTTTTCAATGCTAAATCCCTGCATTTGGAATACATGATCCGCACGCGGAGCATGCATCAAAAACGGCACTGTAGTCTGCAGCGCATGGCTCGCACAGCCCCAGGCCACGCCGTACACGCCACGGGCTCACGCGACATGGCTCACACAACAGAGCTTGCATCGCACAGCCAATACCACGCAGCTCACACCACAGATACTACACGCCATAGCACACGACATACAAAACATAACACATAGCTAACACCACGTAGCGCATAGCACACAGCTTACACAACAAAGCTCACCCCATATAGCTCGCACCACATGGCTTCCACAACATAGCTTCCACCACACAGCGTACGCAAAATAGCTTGAACTGCACAGCACACGACTCGAAACCTACACACCATAGCTCTCATCACAGGGCTCACGCCTCACGCGCACACAAACATACAACAACATACATACTTATGCATGGAACGTGCAAGAGACTGTTTCTTGTAGGGTCCGGCGATAAAGCGGGTTATCGGGCTCGACCCCCCCCCAGAATAACCTAACCTAGCCAGCTGTGCAGGTCCGGGGGGGTGGCGCAGGGAGCTTGTAGGGAACGCTGTGTTCAAAGGCACGGTCGTGTTCGCCACAGCATGCTTGTGTTTGGATGCACGTTGGCAAAACGTTGGGGTTTGGAGTGGCACGGGGAGACGATGACGACGACAGGCGACAGACGACGACAGACGACGACAGATGACGATAGACGACGACGAACGACGACGACGACACCGACGACCGACGACGACCGACGTCGTCCATAGGCATCTTGAAGTGCACGTGAGCAGCGCGTACACAGGCATTGCGTTTTTCACAGGCATCGAGGCGATTTTGTGCGCACATTTGCTGCTGTTGCAGCAAAATCTCTTGTGTACGCTGGCGTTGTGGTGCACGCACACATACGTGCACGCAAGCCGCGCGGTGCATGCGGGCATCGTGATGCACCCAGGCAGTATGGTGAAGACAGGCTTTGTGGTATGGACAACTGTTGCTGCAATATCGGCTATCATGCAGACAGGCGTCCCAGGCATGGTGGTTTACAGAAGCATTGTGATGCACTGTCGTTGCGGTGTACCATACCTTGTGATGTACACAAGCGCTGCGGTGTACACATCTGCTACTGTGCACACATCCGTTAAGGTGTACACAAGCGCTGCGGGCCCAAAAGATGGGACCGCTCCCTGCGTAAGAAAAATCAAGAATCACAAATAGCTTGCATATTGGATTTGATACGTTCGGATTCCCCACAAGTTTCTAAAGTTCGGTCTTGCCGGGGGCCCTGGAAGTGTACGCAGTTCTCTGGTGTACACAAGCACTTTGGTGCACCGGAGCTGAGGTGCACGAGTATGGTGCTGAAGCAGTAGTAACCGTAGTGCACATAGGCGTCGCCGTGTTCGCAGGCAGTGTGTGGTGTGTGGTGTACACAGGCGCTGCGGTGCACAGGGGTGCTGTGGTGTACACAGGTACTGTGGTGTACACAGGCATTGTTGTGCAGACAGGCGCTGCGGTGAACACGAGCAGCTGTGGTGTGCACAGGCGTCGTGGCGCACGCTGGACAGGCCCTGTGGTGCACATAGGCATGGACGGCCAAAAACGAGGTGACCGCATGGGCCAGAACAATGTATAATCACAAATAACTGACAGATTGAACTTGATATGTTCGGGCCCCCTGGGACTTTCCAGATTTGGGCCAGGCGGGACCTCGGAGGTGCACGGAAGCCCTGTGGCGCAAATGTTTGCCATGCGCTGTGGTGCACACAGATCCTATGGTGTTAACACGCACCGCAAACACAGGCGCTGTGGTGCACACGGGTGTTGTCGTGTACACAGGGATTGTGGTGTACAGAGGCACTGTTGTCTAGACAAGCACTGCGGTGTACTCAAGCAAACGTGGTGTACAAAGGCGTCGTGGCGCACGTTAAACAGGCGCTGTGGTGTACACAAACATGGTCGGCAAAAAACGGGGGGGACCGCACCCCGCTCCAGACAAAAAAAAAATCACACATAACTTACATATTGAATGTGATGCGTTCGGGCCCCCGGGGACTTTCCAGATCTCGGGCCCCGGCGTGACCTTTGGACGTGCGCGGAAGCGCTGTGGCGCAAATGATCGCCATACGCTGTGGTGCACGTTGCTCCTGTGGTGGGCACAAGCACCGCAGTGTACACAAGCGCTGTGGTGCATGCAGAAGCATCTGCTGCAGCAGCACCTGTGGTGTGCAAGACCGCTGTGGCGCACGCCTTTTTTTTTAGTGTTCGCAAGCAGTGTGGTGCAT